TTAAACACGTCCCGCATCGATATTTCAATAATTGTTCCATCCCGGGATTATCCCGGGATCAAAAATCGATCCCGGAACTGAAAAATCGTCGGGATTTTGCAAACCGTAGTATGAATCTTGAAGGGATGAGTTTTATTTGAAAGCATGGATTATAAGTCATAAAAATTGCTCACCATAAGGATTCAGAAAGTGCATGATTAAGGTCATCCAATAATGCCACTAAAACGGAGGCAGCAGTCAAACGCTACCCCAAACAGATCGATGAAACAAGCTCACACATCGTTTGCAAAACAACAACTTTCATCGTGGTCCGGTTGGTCGCCGTGTTCAGTAACGTGTGGTACAGGAACGCAAGTTCGTTTCAAGACGCTGAGCAATCAAAAGCATATTTGGCAGTCACAAGCATGCAGTTTCAAGGTTGTTTTCCAGGACAGTTCAAATCGTATGAATTTCGTTCGAAATGACGTAATCGTTTTGTGTCCTTATACTGAAAAGAAGTGATCTTTCAATGCTATACTGCAGGAGTGTGCTCCATATTGGACTGGATGGAGTGAATGGAGTCAATGTACGGCAAGTTGCGGATATTCGAGAAGGTATCGGCAGAGAATGTGCATTGGAACAGTATGCAAAGGTAAAGTGGCGTCGACATTTCAGTACATTTACAACTAACGTATTATGGGCTGTATTCATGGCATTCGAAATTATTCATAAGTAACTTCGCAATGCGAAACAATCGGCAATGCATGATTTTTTTTCGTGAACATTTGTCAAACTGTATCTGTAAGACCTCCTCAGTGCCCGCGTCCATATTCATGCACGTATCAAATGAAAGGCGCGATTTGATGTTTGGAATGCCGACTAATGTTAATAAGGAATCACTTTTATCCAATCGATTATGATCAATCATTTTCTCTACTGATCTAGAGTGTTTTTATAAGGGTTTTNTTTGTTCAGGTGCATCACTGCGTTTCGAGATCTGTTCAGTACCTCTGTGTCGTCGCGTACAAAAAGTTGCAATAGCGAACCCTTCGAATGCTATCCGTCGTGGTACCTCGTCAGCGTTACGTGCTAAGAACCGTAGTAAATGTGAGTTGCACTGTAACGTGAAAATTTTTACGTCTTTCGTTGAACCGAAGAATATGGTGAGGATGCAATTGAGAAATTGGGTCGATGTTCTGCAACAGTTGTAATAGTTTCTTTCGTATGGCAGATATTTTATGAGACGAGAAATTGAACTTGTCTTGTGGAATTCGAGCTTGAGGGAGCGATCAAAGGTGAGAGAGTTTTCAGTGCTGAAAATTACAAACTATGCTCCATCATTATCTCAGCAGCAAGCTGTGCAATTGCGAAATGGAACCATAGCCCACAGTCGTAAGGACTCGAAGTTTCTCTGTTCTACTTCAAGTTTATCAAGTAAATGATGCGAATTGCAGGGGTTCACTGAGGTTTGATGATGATAAATGAATTGACGAACGGGTTCAACTGTCACTATCGTTAAACAAAACATCAATATGCCTCACTACCGTCAACTTGAAATATTCTTTGCAAACGGTTTATTGTATTTAGATGAAAAATTAGCCCTCCATCGCTGTCTCTCCAATTAATTCCATAGAGATTATTTGCTTCTGTGAACTGTTTTTTTTTTGATTGATGACTCTCTTACCAATTCGATATTCTCAGAACGTTCTCTTTGAATAATTGTTTCCCTTTTCATTTCACTAAATCAATATGATTGAGCTATTTTATCATATTTCAAATGCGTATTTCCGATGGAAAACAATCAAAACTTCGACGCTATTGCTATGCGAATATATCAACAATGTTCGTTATTCGGGTTTTGAGGAAAAANAAAAAGATTTTTATAATCGAAGTTCATATTCAAATTGCATTCTGGTTAAATAAGCATTATCTGTTATAGTTGATCATTAGCAAACAATAGATCTCTTACAATGTTGTTCATTTCTGCGTGATATTGTATCGCAATATCAGGTCTAACTGCCACAGTGTTTATCATGTGAATGATATACTCACTGCCACTATTTATTCTTATTTTGCAGTATGTATTTTATAGTTTCAGTTATAGGTGAAGTTTCGTTTCATTTTTCTTCTTTCAGCTTCATCTTGCTGTCACAAACTCGTTGGTAATCAGTAACTGTGCTCTTTTCCATAATTAATGTTGAATTTCTATTACAAAGATTTTGTTTCCTTTTTGAATTGTTTCGATAAAGTTCATTTTCACAGCAACTCAATACCCTCCCATCATATTTGAGAATATGAGGATAATGCATTATTCAACAAACCATCTAGCAACACATTTACTGAAACAAGCAGTTGAATGGTTTACAGTTATTTCTGAACGAATATCTCAAAAAAAGTATATTTGCGCTGATGCGTCATCACTGTTGCACCGCATCTGTGTTATATCCACGGCATGTTGAAATATTCACGTTTGAAGCTCTAGAAAGCAGAAATTGAATTAATTTGTTCGATTTTTGATAAAATCTTCAAAAATTTCAAAGATGAATCCTGGATGTTCGTTGTCACGTGGGTTATTTGGTAACGAGTATTCACTGAGACGATNTACGTAAATCAAAGGTTGCAAGTAGATGAGGATGAGATAGATAAATCCACTCCACAATTTCGAAATAAATTCTCAACAATATCTCATCAGAATGAAGTGTATCAAAAACCAACCAATAGCGATGATGTTCGAAGAACCTTACAAGTTGATTGCGTAATCGTCTTCCATTTTTATCATTCGACGCACGTTGATTCTTGTTAGATGGCTTTATCTTATGCAAACGCAATTTATTCAACGAACGCTTTCCAAAATCTGCAAACCTTTCTGTTATGAGTATTTTGGGAGTTCGGAATATGTGAAGCAATTACATACATCAATGAAACAGGGGACTTTTACAGTTGTAATCACATGAAATTCAATGACATATTCAGTATTTAAATTTAATATTTAAGCACATTAGAAATTCAACGTTTCAGTCATATTTAAACGCATAAAATAAGTTCATGTTGAATAAATTCCTTTGAAGAATGGAATAATTTAGATAGACTGAATTGGATTGTTGATCGTAAAGTTAGCTGAATTTTGATTACCAATTGAACCGACTTATAACTCGCAAAATGAATTGATGATTTCGATAAAATGTGTGAACATATGGCATTCAGTATTACTCGGACTGCCGTAATCATAATAAAATTTACCGAAGTCGGTTCCTTCGAGCATATCGAGAGCTCGTTTGTTGAAGCCGAATCCGAGTCCTTCAAGACTGTCGAGTGCTCTCTTATTGAAGCCGAAGCCAGCTCCTTCGAGCCCATCCAGAGCTCTCTTATTGAAGCCGAAGCCAGCTCCTTCGAGCCCATCTAAAGCTCTCTTGTTGAAACCGAATCCGAGTCCTTCAAGACTGTCCAGTGCTCTCTTATTGAAACCGAAGCCAGCTCCCTCAAGACCATCTAAAGCCCTCTTGTTGAAACCGAATCCAGCCCCTTCGAGCCCATCCAGAGCTCTCTTGTTGAAGCCGAAGCCAGCACCCTCGAGGTTATCCAATGCCCGCTTATCGAAGCCAAAACCAGTTCCTTCCATTGAGTCCAGGGCTCTCTTATCGAAGCCGAAACCAGCACCCTCGAGGCTATCCAATGCCCGTTTATTGAAGCCGAACCCGGCCCCTTCAAGTCCATCCAGTGCTCGTTTATTAAATCCAAAGCCCGTTCCTTCCATCGAATCAAGCGCTCGCTTTTTCAAGCCAAATCCAGCTCCCTCTAAGCTATCCAGTGCGCGTTTCTTCAACCCAAAACCAGCACCTTCAAGACTGTCAAGTGCTCTCTTATCGAATCCAAAACCTGCACCTTCCATTGCGTCAAGCGCACGTTTCTTCAATGGTCTGAATCTTTCTTCATCGTCCAATAAGTTCAGCGATGGCTTTTTGAGTTGTTTAACCCGAGGCAGTGCTGTCGTTGATGTTATAGACATAATCTGAAAACCGTACACATCATATCTCGGATTAAAGCTATTATTGCATCAAATAAAGATCATCGACCGGTTAGAGTTAATGCAAACTTTATGCTTCATTTAATTAATGTTTGCTAGGAAATAATCGGAAGCGTTGTTTTCAATTTTGCATTTACCATCTAATCATTTTGCTTGATTAAACTGCTTTCAAGCATTAGTTGTATTAATGACCAGAGAATGAAATGCTACAAAGAGGAAATTGTCACTGGAATGATTCGTACGTGTTCGACAAGCAGCTTAATAAGAAGTTTGGGAATGGATTAAAACGAAATGAGATTCATCATTGATTGAATTTTATTGAACGATCTATCTCACTGAATTGAGCCTTTCCTACGTGGACGAACCAACGAATCAAAACAACGTTTCTTTGATCAATTTATTCACTCCGAATATTTTATGCAAACTCCTATTTGTTGCTATAAAAACTGCGCCACCGTTCATAAACGAGTCTGCAATGAATATAACTCGAAGAATGAGCTTAAAACAAGTTGATTCTTTCAGTAAATTTGTTCTCAAATAGAAACGATACCATCGTCTTTGTAACGCATTTGAAGGGAGAAATCGCGACTTACCAGTGCTAAAGTGAACAAGTTGTATACGATGGAGTTTGGCATAAACTGTGAGATCATTTTGAATTGTAATCACCTGAAAAACGTTCTGAAAATAGTTTTGCTTTCTGCATATTTTTCGCAACACTGAAACACAGCGTACGAAAAATTCGCCACGAAATCGGCCGCATAATTATTGAAATTTCCGAGTACAAAACAATCGCCGAAGAATTGAATACAGTGGATGGATGATCCATGGCACACGATTTGCATTCAGAAAATTTGTTCCAAGCGAGTGCATTAAGGCATATAATTCGAATGACGGGGTATACTTGGTGAAGAGATGAACTAATCGTATGAGTGGTATTGGATAACTTGTTCGAGTGGTGAATCAGAAATCACATTGAAAACGTTAATANTTATGGATAAGAAGTAGATTCATCACCTAGTATATTTGGCGCTATTGACGACAGTGAGATTTCAGAACTGATCACAATGTCGTTTTTCCTAGTACCGTCAAAAAAATCACACAGTCAATTTTTGAACATACTGCTAGTCGTCGAAACTCACATGCCCTGTTGAAATGACCTATGAAGGTGACGTTAAGAAGTGATTAGTTGGGAGGGATAAATGATGGGATAACAGAAGCGATGATACGCTCACTTCAGTGAGGGCTTCTCTTGACACTGTTTTAGAGAAGAATCGAACCACAGAAGACCACCTTCGATCTGAATTCCTCACCGAATGACATGGTTTGGACAGTTGCGCATCGCTTATAAACAACATCACGAGCGTTATGAGTGCTCATAACTGCTTAGCACTATTAGCACTCTTGTCTCGTTTTTCGATATCCTTTTTCGATTTTTCAATGAGCAATTCAAATTGCATCAGCGATAGCTCTTATTCAACTCTCAACTGAATACGTTCAAAATGCGCACTACCCAACGAAATATTCGAAAATCTACCGTAATGTGTCTATTATAACTAATTTATATGCATATTTATGCATTAAAGTAGTGACAGTTTAATTGAACTCATCAAATTTCTTATATCATTCTACCGAACAAACAATTGCACATTAGAAACAGCATCACTGAAGAAAAAATATTGCGATCTGTCGAGAATTCATATAAATAGGGCAGTCAAAACTGGCATTGGTTTTCTGTGGCAGGATTAGGCACATAGAATTCTTTCAACTGAATCTTCTTGGATTGTCACGAAACGCGCTTATAAAAGTCTTAAATTGATTGNTGCCCACATCAAAGCGCTTATCCTACTCGGACATTCAGATTAGCGGAGGTTTTGAATGAACGCAATCGAAAGATAACCAGACGGTTTGCTGAATCATACTGGGACTAATTTGATGAATGCGATGATTGACGGGTTTATCCTGCGGCTGAGCTTATCAAATTTGCGGGAATATTCACGCGACTTTATATTCATTCATAGCTAGGCAATGGAAAACAGCACTCAATCGTTTGATTAATATTACCTTTGTTTTTGCCATTCATTATGCAACAGATCCATTTGTGAATGTTTACTTCACTCTCACTTTTTCTTCATTTATTCAATGCAACTTCATAGTGAAGTTGCGACTGAATGCAATCATCACAATAAGATGAGAACTTGGAGTGAAACTTAAAAATACATCAAAGATGAGCATATTTCCAATAGGACAACTGCATTTATTCGTTCATTACCGAGCAAATCTGTTCTTGTGTAATCGAAACATTTGTTCGGAAACTTTCACCCCAATTTGCTAGCGTTTCACTGAACAAGCAAGAAAACCTAGTGGAAACGTGATAGACAAAACTACTCGGTTTCCATCAAAATCCCAGGCTAGCTTAAAGACACAAACCAACCGATGCTCGAAATTCACAATTACGAGCCAATGTACTCCTCATCTCTGACAGCAATAAAACCTATCCATTTGCAAATTAGATTAAGTCCAAAGCAGTGGTTGCTCATGATGTCCATGAATAGCTATCAAACTCATTCAGACTACGTGAACGTACTTCAACCAACAATTTTAACCAACCTACTCTTTTATATTGGCCACTAAATCCTTTATTGCGAATAGAGTAAACTGATTCTGACGTCCACCTTAAAATGAACCAACCCGTCACTTGTAAACAATCCATTTTATGCACTTCCTCAAAGAATTTCATCTTCCAATTGAGTATTTGAGGTCGCTTCTTAAATCATTAGAAAACGAACATTCGTAAGCACTATTTGGGCGAATAACTGGATTGTTGTATTGCGTGATATGCCATTATCATGAAACATGTTATCAAACAAATTAGCTGCAAAATCATCAGTTAGAATAACCATTCAATGACTGGCATCCTGAAGCTGCAATCAGCATGAATATCTCCTCATCATGATCTTTTTGTGACTGTTTTTTTTAACGTTGGAATGCAATCATGAAAAAGCATTCGATAAGATGAGCTCTCAATTTAATGACTGATTATTAAATTAGATTTTATTTCAATAATTTCGATAGAGAGCGAGCAATGATGCAATTATCAGAGCGGACTGTATGTTCAGCTTGGAGCGTTTTTTGTTTCCGAAAANTGAGGTTACAAAATATGCCGTTAGTGGCGCATGAAGTGAAATGCAAAACTGATCACGATGGTGGAAAATATACACTCATACAAACATTCCATTCAAGCAGTGTAATCCGTATTAAACCGAACTAATTCTCATGCCATAACGCTCATATTCTCTGTGAATTCCAGTAAACATATCATTTACGGAAAAGACGTGCTCATAGCAAGTTCGCTCACTGAAAACAACAAACATCTTCAAAACTTGCCATAAAACTAAATGTCATTCTTAACGTTGCGGACACATTCGATTTATGACTCACAGTCAAATGAATGAAAACAAAAGCGTTCGTTAAATGCGCACTCAAGTTTGATAATGAAAATCTGCTACTGAATCGCTTAATTCCTGTCAATCGTGAAAATAAGGTATTATCTATAAGCACCGATAATGGTCGATGCAACAACTACACATGATAAGAGTGCAGGCAAACGAAAAATTCGGTGGCACTAGATCCACCATGACAAAATGAACTTATGTCGTTTACTCGTTAACTGAAACTGATTCATGAAGATCGTTTATCGCATGTTTCACAGCCGCGATTTCTTATCTCATTCCTTCATGAATGCTCGAAAAAAAAATTCGAGAGAGGCATTTCAGTGAGTGCACCGAACTTCGGGAACGATTTAATGAATGTGTTTTGCGTCATTCGCTTATAATGAATGAATTTTCCAAGAATAAACCCATATCCGATTAACTGCGAATGTGTTAATAGNGGTGGGGAAAGTCAGGATGAATACTGCATTCGAGGAACCCCAAAATGCGGTCGCTCTGAAAAAAAACATCGGGGACGATGAGACTGGAACGGTCCCTCGTTACAAATTTTCTGCAAACGACCGCATTTCTGGAGTTCCCGACTGCAAACTTTAGGCCGCAAACGACTGCAAATTTCGTTCCACGACTTTCCCCGTGTCCGTTTTCCTTTTTCATTCTCCGGATCACACTAATTTAAATGATATCAAAAACAGGTCGATCATCAAATGGACACATCCACAAAAACTCGTTGATTGCTGGTCGCGTTTCGAAGTTTGAATAAACAAAGCGTTTTGTGTTGCTTAACGTTTCATGCTTTGCTTACCCATTGGTTGACGTCTCAAACCTTGAATATTAAGACGATGCTTCTGCTTTCATACTGATTTGAATTTTCTAAAGCGATGAGCCACAGTAGTGCTCGTCGAGGTGATCAAAAAGCTTAGCACTGAACACAATCACTTTCTCTTTCTCCTTCAAGCACGACTGCGGAATTAGGTGTACACTGAAATAACCGAGTGAAAAATGAACGTACTGGCTCCGTTTGTTGGCTTGTGGTGTGAATGAACGACGACAGCTTTGATTACTATTATTATTATCATTTCATATTAGAAATTGGCCGCTCACGTCAGTCAAATGAAATAAAATTCTCGAAGATGAAATTATTGGACAGCACGCAATCTGCAGTCTTCAACGACGAATACTGCTCCAAGAAATTACTCACGCTTGTTTCATCATACATCCGCCCGAATGATCATGAAATGTGCCTTGATCAGTTGCAAAAAACGTACGGATGGATAATTTTCACAGTGAAATGCAGCTGAATGTAGTGTTCAATTATTGCAGGCATTCCAGCATTACTATCGATTTACATCAGTCAAACTAAAATCGTTGAATGACACTGTAATTAACAACGGCTATTGTTTAGATAAACCTGATGCGGATTAATTGCTTATTGTTTATATCAATTAATATGTTTCAGTTAAGTGAACTTCAGAGTTATGCTCATCTCAGTTCCAGCTATCCATCGGATGAATTAGTTTATATGATTGAATACAATTGGATCTGGGGAAGTCGTTTGCAACTATAAATAGGTTATACATATTATATCTAAATTAAGCCTATTCATGCTCAACAATAAGCTCTTTCGGACGAGATGATAGCATAGAAAATTGAAACCGTCATTCATGAATACTATTCATCAAAAGGAAATTCACGTTATGGAGATGTTCTTGGATTTCACGCTGAATGACGGCAGTAATGGAACAACCATAGACTTCGTTTATTAGGATTATATAGTCACCATTCAGATTGAGTGCGAGTGCACCTTCAAAAATTCCATGTTAGTATTTAAAATACAATGACTAATAAGGCAAATCCAGCTCAATAAAGCAGAATGTCCGTTTTCAACAGGCGAGTATATCATCGTTCAGTGATGATGGTAATGCAGAAGGGATATATTGTGATTTATGTATTGTGAGTATTAATGGGATATATTGTTGAAGCAGCAGTGTATAAATCGTTATTTTCATTGAAACTGATAAAATATTAACGAGAATTCCATTTTTACCGTTTATTTGACTAAATTCCACTTTGTCATTGTATTGTACCATTGTTCGTCTTACTCAAAACAAAGGAAGTCACTCACACACTGCAAACTTTACCGACTTACTCAAACAAAGGGAGACTCTGTGATGAAAACACTCGACGGACGCTTTCATACCCGTAGAATCGAAACCCGTTAAAATCGAGTGCGAGTGCAACTTCAAAAACTCCACGTTGTAAAATCGTCTGACGAGAGAGGGGTTCAAGGCCACGCCTCGGAGAGACTGGTGCCTTAAACCAGCGTCCTAGACCCCTTGCCCATCTCGCCAACTACACCACGTTGACAAACCCTGCCGTGAATTTTGAAAACATCGAACTTAAGTTATCGATGAAAGATGACTCTCAAATATAATGAATAATTGTTGAAGAGTGATACAACAAAAAATTATGAATGAGAATAGCTGAATGTGAAGTGGATAAATGCCGTAGAGAGATAAATGGGGTTTGATGCATTCTCATCGATTTGTTTAGTTGTTTTGATCGAAACGGTTAAATATGCGGTTAGATGAGACTCGCATACAAATCATTTGCTCACTTAATGACATCTCTCAAAATACATTACTTGGTCACGTCAACTATCACTCAGTTTACCTCCATTAAAAAGGCAGAACAAAAGCATGAAGCATGAATATAATATGGGAAACTTGTTGGAGGGATGGCAAATCTGTTGAGGTACTGCTTAGTTCGACAAAGCAGACGACTAAATATCATTAGAAGTTGTTGATTATTATGAAGGAAGACCTAGTACAAACTACAATATAACAACTGAAAAAGTGCGAAACTTGAGCTGAGGTAAGTGATATCACGAAAGTTGGTCTCAAATATCTGTTAATCAATGCAGTGAAAAGTGTNGCCACTGATGCGTATATAGTGATATTCCCGTTCCAGTCAGAATGTTCTACTTCTGTTCTATTCTAAGCAAGAGAATAGAACAGTTCCAATAAACGACGCGCGGAAGCGAATAGAACAGAATAGCTGAAAAGCGGAATAGAACGGTTTGAAAATTGCAGAAGGGTGGAACAGAACAAAGTAGAACATTTTGCCAGAAGAGTGGTATAGAAACATCACTAGGTATACCAAGAAACAACTTCAGCTGGAAAACAATCACAGAAACCGTAGTGGACTGCGTTTTGACGTTGTAATGTTATAAAAGACCATGAAATGAGCATCGTTAACTGATAGTGTTTCTGTGGTCATTTTTACAGCGCGTAACTTGCTGGTTGGTGTGGAATGTCCTGACAAAGCTGTGAAAGATAAGAAATATTCATGAATGTCAAGGAAAATCATTGAGAATGAAGCATACATTCCCAAGAGTAGTCATTTTTCAGCTCATAAAACTACCTATTGTTATTGGAGACATGAATGATATAATAAGCTGTGATGTTTCTGGCAACGAGAACAATCGTTTGAATTGAAATCATGATTAAAATCATCAAATGATTAAAAAGCACCGATGGAATGTTCAAATGATCCACATTTTCCATTCCAATCCATTCTTGAATTTCGTGAAGACAGTTTTTGCAAAAGAATTGTTGGAATTTGAGTGCTCAAATTATTTTTTGCTTTTGGGGCAGGTTTCCAATGACTTTCATTGAGGAGCTGAATATAAACATTTTATAAGTCAAGAAACATAGGTAATTTTTATGCATTTCTCGAATCGCTGGAGATAAAACCCAAAAGATCGTCTCGAATGCAAAGATTCCAATAGGTAGCTTCCATCCTTAATTGTAAGAAATGGGATATCAGTACGACTACAATAACTAGACTTTTTTCTTCTGACTGTGAAGTAATCAATTATTCTTGCTAAGAATAACCCATCTCATAGCAATTTCAGCAATTCTCTTGATTACGGTCCATCAAAACCTTTAAAAATTTGTGACCAAGAATTTCAAGATGAATCCTTCAAAACGAGAGAGATTCAAGAAGAATTGCAAATCGATTTTGTGTATATTAAATGGCTCAACAAAAAGGCGCATGTTTGAACGAAATGAGAAGGTGTCAACAAGAGGCATCTAGAAATGAATATTAATCTGCCGATACTCCGTAAAACATCGCAATAACACAAGAAAATATGACATGTCACGCCACGTCCCAGAAGAATACTATTAATCGAATTTTGACTGGTGCTTTTTATATATTTATACCAACGAATATATATGCATTATTCAGTAATGCTGTCATTTGTGAAGGTAATTGTCACTTATGAAGGTAAGTGAAGGTAATCATTTGCAAAGATGAAACTTCCAGTCGTTTTCAGCACTTCACTTTTTTCGATTTCGTTTCTGAATGCTTCAAGAGTAGATGACCGTTAGAGCTGATTTTATGGATTCGCAGTGGACCTCTCCCAAGCAGATTCACATCATTCTTTGCATGCCACTTTCAGCTAATTATTCACTTTCTTTGAACATATCCAAATGTAGTTCGCAAACATTGGCGTCCATTGATGAGAAATATTGACGTTTGCTCGACCAAAAGATTGTGGTAAGAGTGCATTACGTTAATCAACTGACGATGGTTTCATGATGAAGCACTGTTGAAAGTTCATTGAAAGAAGTNAAATTCGACATAAAGCTGCACTTATAAAGGACATGAAGCGACCCGAATGAACCACTGTACGTTGAAGAACCGGTCTGGTGCGACTGCACCAAACATTTCGAGTTTGGTGCGATTCGAGGGAATGGTTTGCGGGATTATTCGAAGGGTATGAGTAATATTCTGCCGTTATTAGTGGGTGAATGGAGTCGACAATCCAGTAAAGACGAAACGAAGATGTTGAAGAGGTCAAGGTAGGCAATATTAAATGAAATATTGATTCATATTCAGTTCTCATCTCTACTGATGGTGGATGGTAGCTCTGACTAATGATGGATCAGTTAATTCGAATCTGTCAAGCTCACAAACGCACGGAGCGCTTGTGAATGATGAAACGTTAAGTTCACACAATGTGAATCTGGAATTTTGCATGGAGACAATTCGCAAAGAATTATAAATGGAATATTGCTGGATCATTTCAGGCGCAAGCAAGCGATAACGTGGTGTACGACATCGACCATAGCTGCACTCGTCTTGAGTATATTCACGATAATGAAATTACACTGGGATCATGAATTAATGATGATTTCAGTATTCGAAATAATCGTCTATATATCAGCCGCATTCGCTTGTATATGTGGCTGTTTGAGGGATGATCCTTATCTTATCATACCGCACATCCTTATTGCTGTAAGTTCCCTTTCGGTTCACGTGCACCTCAGAGTTTGGGATATCGCATACATTATAAATTATTGGAATACATTATGAATTACAACTGAAATATTTCATAAGTTAATGGAATTTAAAGATTCAGCCATGAAACCAACTTGAACACACATTTTCTAAATATTCTGCGGAATAGTTTTCGAACAAAACCAATCCAGCGAATGAAATATGATAATAAGAGAGACGGAGTGTAATTTCGTCGACAATTTATTCCGAGTTCAGATTAAATCATGTCAAAATAAGCCGAGTATTTACAGGTACTCGTTATAATTATTCGATTCATAGTCTTCATACTGGCGCTGATCGCAGCAGTTTTCCCTCAAAGTTATAACGAACTTTTGAGAAGTCGAAATCATCATAATGGTTACCCAAATGACATAAAACAATGTTAGTCATTCATTGGAAATACAATATTCAGTGAGAAACCCTTGTTAGAAATCTTTTGCACTGATGAAGTTTTGAATTGCGGTTTCGGGGGAGTAGGAAGAAACC